ATAGATAGATAGATATTCACACATGCACGAACATTGTGAGAAAATAGAAACTTGACAATATAAAAAAATGTCACATTGGATGAAAATATATATCCTTTCTGCAGTTTTTCATGCGAGAAGAAGTTAAAAGAGAGAGAAAGAGAGGAGGGAGAAATCCATTATGTGTGTTTGTGAGAGAGGGATAGAAAGAAATAGAGGGAGTGTGTGAGTGTCAGTGAAATAGATAGATCGATAGATAGCTTGAGAGAGGGTGAATGAGAGAGAGAGAGAGAGAGAGAGAGAAAATTGCGTTCGGCATTTTGAACCCTCTAAAACTCTTAGATTACATACATGTTTGACATTTAAATTCCGGTTATTTTATTTTTTAACCAATGTTAAAACCGATACATTTTAATGGAACGCATCCTATAACAGCGTACAAAAGGCGTGTCGTCTTTAACTGTCGTCATTATCTTTGGTTGTCATCATTACTATAATCTTGTCCTGCCACCATGACCCTTGCCTATCAGTAGAACAGATTCGCATTTACCAGTCATTCATTTTTCCATGGGTGATCAAATTTCCCGAATAAAAAGAAAAACATATTGTAACTTTAAAAAAAAGAAAAGAAAAATGTTTGTGTAAAAGTGTCAGATGCGTTTACCAACTGGAAGAAGAAGACGGCATTTTCTTTTTTTTTTTTTTTTTTGATATTCGATATTGTAGAGAATAAAATCTTTCGCAGCAAAAAGTCCTCTAATTATCTGCTACGTGGTGTGAAGCTGGTAAGCTATAGCTTAATCCTGCTAGATGTGTCATTTTGCTTAGTCTACTGTTACAACAGCTACAACAACTTTCTACACGTCTATCAGGAACTGTTTGCAGAATCAAGGCACTACTAACTACAGAAAGATGCTGAGATACCATGGACCGAACATGTGAGCAACGACGAGGTTTAAGAGAAAATGGAAACAAAAAGGAAACTTATACTTAATATCAGGAAGAAGCAGTTGAAATTTCTGGAGCACGTAATGAGGAAGGAGGGCTTGGAAAACCTGATACTCACAAGACATATCGAGAAAAAGAGGGACACAGGAAAGCATCGCGTAACGTATTTGAATAGCTTGAGCAAATGGATGGTAAAACAGGATTTGGGAGAAATAGCTAAAAGTCAAACTTACTAAGAGCTACAAGGGATAGGAAGATGTGGAGGGCAATGATCGCCTACGTCCTGAATAGATACAGCACATAAAAGAAGAGAAATATGCACACAATTTTTTCCGTTTTCTACAGGAAGTTTTGTTGAAGCGTCGGCCGAAGTTACTGCTGCTTCTGCCGTAGAACATCTTAAATACGCACTGTCCGAGGTCCTTTTCTTATGTGCAGGTAGATGTTCAAGGACGATCGCGTAGCGTGGCACGCTTTTCGGCTCGGCAAGTAGAGTTCCACTCCAGCAGCTTCTCACGAATCGCTGTTTTGTGGGGGAAAAAAAAAACTCCAAGGAGAATGCTTCTCCGATTACCACGACAATTTTAATCTTTTCAAGTCTAGGTTTAACCGATATCTTCCTCACATATTCGCATAACCTGTGCTTCTTACTCCGTATCCCTCTACCCGAATGGCTCTCGGGCCTTGTAGACGGTGAATATCATTGTAAAAAAAAAAAAAAGTCGTCGCGCTGAGTTTAAATTGTTGCATTCACTTTTGCTCAAATAACATCTGGAAAAGTACGAATCAATCTCTTCACCCCCAGCTATGGGTTAAATATCAGAAAGCCTGTTTTTGTTTAGCTCTAGTTGGAAACCAGTTTAAATGCTGGAAATCTCTGAATTCAAAAAGTGGATTGGGCTCGGGAAAATCATTTAAAATAAACAAAATACTATCAAATAACCTAAATCTAATAAAATTTATTCCAAATACTATTTATAATTTCGAACCGACGAAAATATACGAAAAAATAAATCTTTATAGCGGCTAGGCTTTTCTTCGTTACCATCTCCTAATATTGAATCTTAAATGGTTGGCAGAACTGGGATTAGGAGAGATAGTGAAAAGGAAAACTTTACTGAGAGCTACAAAGGACAGGAAATTGTGGAGGACCATGATTGCATACGTCATGAAGGGACACGGTACAGAGAAGAAGAAATACCACAATCTTTGGTAAGTGGTTGGCAGAACAGAGATGAGGAAAAATAGCAAAAAGGAAAAGTTTACTAAGGGCTGCACAGGAAAGGAAATTGTGGAGGGCCATGATCTTCCATGCCCTGAAGGAGCATAGCACATAGAAGAAGAAGAACAAGAAAAAGAATAATAATAATAAGAAGAACGTTTCAAAAAGTGCCAAGAAAGAACTAAAACATTTGCATATAAAAATGGAATAGCCTGTATTATACGCGTTGCTGTGAGTGATTTGGTCAAATCAGTATATTTGTCCCCCCTTCATTTCTGTTAGGGATATGCTATCAATTTGATTCATAAATAATTTCCGTTTTGGGAACCAACTGTGACGACGAAACGTTCCTTATATAGATAGCATAACAAGTGATGAAAAATGAATTACATACAACAATGTTCGATACAAAAGGCAATGGATTGACAAATATAAATCTACACAGCCAACCATAATAAACTGAACGCCATGGAAGAAATGTAATGTTTTGCCTCTGGTGAGAGCATAGGTTTATTATTTATTTAGAGTTCTTAAAACGTAGTGAAACCCTAAATGCACATTTATTCGTCCAGCAGCTGCAACGTGTCCATAAATGTTTGGCTGAAATGTTCAATGCGCTCGCCACTATGACAACGTAAGGACGCCTACAGCAAGAATAACACGGGAAATAATTGTGGATCTCGGTTGGTCTGTTCTATTCCACCCGCCATATTCACCTGTCCTTGCTCTAAACGATTATTACCTTTTCTTTCCCATCCTAGGTATGACGATAAACTACATCTGGCAGCAAGATCTCTGATAGGGAGGTTATGAGGAACATTGTGCCACCTCTTCATTGCTGTTGTTCCCAGGTCCGACGTGACCCGGGGTGGTAGCACCTGTTAGGGTCTCAGCTATGGGCAAATAGTGACACCCCCAAACTGAGGTCAAAACACTATAATACTAAAAAATACCAGCAGTACATTTTTATAAAAAAAAAAATTACCAGTAATACAATTTTTTAAATGAAACTACTAATGCTCCCAAGAGAATTAAATTTTGGCCTTAAATGACCCATAAGGTGTTGATATGCCGCTAAACAAACACTTTTTTTTCGATCGTCTCAAAACTCTTTGGTGAGGAAAATTAATTCAAGAGTTCATTCAAAACTTTTTTCACATCAAAACCTGTGGGATTTTTGCTCAAAATGTATCGAAGTGCTGTCTGATAAACTGTAATAAGTCATTGCAGAAAATGCTAGGAAAATGGTCTGTACCGTTCCAGGAATTACCTGAATTCTTCTGCTACGCTCAATCTTAATAAGAGTCAAATCACACCAAAAAAGGAGCATTGCTAGCATATTTGAGCTGGAGTCACCACCCGATCATCACTTTTCAGCCTTGATAGATTTCAAAACGGTTTGCCCAGTCTTACAGCGGATTCCACGCTTTACCCCCAGCAGTTTCTTTCCCCACAGCGTTGCAAACCTATTGCTACTCTATCACTATTTCTATGGCAAATGTTCAGATAAGCGCTCCATTCTTTTAGTCCAGACCTTTACAAACAAATCTCCTTATGCTGCGTTTACAGATGCGAATCACTTTCGTTCTCTTTGTATTACATTTGTAAGGAGAAAGTTACGCTCAGAAAGCTTTTTTGTTCCCGGATAATTATTATTTTGTGGAGAAGGCTCCTGTGTGGATACTTCCATTAATTCTTTAGTCTTAACCTCTTCAAGTCAATGGTCAATCGTTATCTATCCTTATCCTTACAATCTTCACTTTCTCCTTCCTTCTCTTACATTCGTCTCCCGCACGCCATGGACATCTTGGCGTGGTATAATGGTTAGCAAGCTTGTCTCGCTAGAACAATTGCCCATACTTTCGAGCTTTTGCTACGCATTGAAAACCACCATATCACGAACGCCGTTCAGCAACCCTCTACATTGAGTGGCTCTTGAGCCATGTACTGGATGAACTTTAGTGAAAAAGAAAAACTGTATGAAGACACATGCCATTAAAAAAATTATATTAATAACGCAGATTATATTATGTTTTATCGCAACATAGCAAAGTACACTAGATGTTACGAGTAAAATATAAACCAGTTAATAGTTGAATAAATCAACCCAGCACTTCCTCCATAACGTTAAAAACAGCTCATTACGTAATACGTTTAAATGATTTAGCAAGTAGTTTATTTCTAAGCTATGATCGTTAAATTCAACGCATATAACCAAAACCTTGCGTATATATATGGGCAGATTTCACCACAATGAAAAAGGTTTTATAAGATAAAGAATATGTTCAGTGCTGTAACATCGTTAAAACTGCTGATTCAATTTGGGTTAAAATGTTATGTCGTAATGGGGAGCATGTGTTAGTCATTAACACGTCCATATTTAAAGATGAGTTTTAAATAAGGGTCTAGGTCAGAATTGTATGAGAGTTGGTCGTCTTAAAAAAATCGTACCATTAAAAGACATTTTATATCAACGGCGATTTGAGCATGCGGGAATATTTACTTTAACTTATTTTACTGCAGAGCAGCAACACTCATCTCACTACCAATGGCCTGCGAGAGGAAACAACTGGTTATTGATTTACAGCAGGAGTCTAGAGTAAATATTTACTATATATTTACCAAACGACAACAAGTATGTGAAATCGAGTAATGGGAATTGGGAATAACAAATGCTGTAAGGTTGGATGTGCAGCTGGTATAAAGGGCGTATGGCGATATCACATGAAAACATCGGTTCTAGTTCGATCACCGAAGTCAAGCAACGGCGAGACTGGTCAGAACCTAGATTGGTGACCGCTTGGGAATAACAGGTGCTGTAGGCTTGTATGTGCGGGTGGTATGAAGGGTTTACGGCGATATCACGTGACAACAACGGTTCTCGTTCGATCACCGAGGTTAAGCAACATCGAGATTGGTCAGTACCTTGATTGGTAACCACTTGGGAATACCAGGTGCTGTAGGTTTGTATGTGCGGGTGTTATGAAGGGCTTACGGCGATATCCCTTGACAACACTGGTTCTCGTTCGATCACCGAAGTTAAGCAACGTCGAGACTGGTCAATACCTAGATTGGCGATCGCTTTGGAATACCAGGTGCTGTAGGCTTGTATGTGCGTGTGGTATAAAGGGCTCACGGTGATATCACGTGAAAACACCGGTTCTAGTTCGATCACCGAAGTTAAGCAACGTCGAAACTGGTCAGAACCTAGATTGGTGACCGATTGGGAATACCAGGTACTGAAAGCTTGGACGTGCAGGTGGTATAATGTATAATGGATCGGAATTGTTAATCGGAGTGCCGAGTTCGAATTCAAATTCTTTATATATTTTCCAGCAGAAGATTTTAAATGCAGAATATCCTCTTATCTAATAAGCCTTAGTAGAAATCAGATAGATCTCCATTTTTGTCTTTACCTTTCAGCATGCAACTGGGTTGCATGTTAAACAATTCTTATTGGATATATGAGGAAGGGCCTTACTGAGAAATGGACAAAAGACATTTCTTACATTCGAAAACATTTTTACATAATACTGTTATATAAAGAAATGTAGATAAAAAAATATTTCAAAATAATTTTCTTCTGAACAGGAAGAAATGCCATCCTCTGGTCGGATTTATAATTTCCCCAAAACTTCGACCAACATTTCTATATTGGTTGCATCATGCAAGCCATTGTTTTTAGAATGACGTCCAGTGCATGCTTATATTTATAAGATAAATATATGAGCGTGGGTTGATAAAGTTCATAGTCTGACTATGAAGAGGAGAGGATAGAGCTGTGAAATCTTGCATGCATTAATTTAAACTCTTCTAAATCAATAACTGCATTATTCCTTTCCAGACAAACTGAGATCTGAGAGTTGAAAGAAGACTTAAATATGCAAAGGTTGGCTTAAAATTTCAGAGGTTAACTCTGAAGGAGTGAAGCTATAGCTGTGAAATCTTGCCAGCATTAATTTAAAATCTTATTAATAATTGCATTGTTTTGTTTCTTTTTTCAGGTAAACTGACATGTTCAAAGAAGACTGTTCACCCTGTTGGTCAAAAAGTCATTAACAGCAGATATGCCGTCATCATCCCTGTGATAATGGTTCCCAACCAAATGTTTGTTTATGTTGGGGAACAGATGATAGTCAAATCAGGAGAATAGAGAATGCGATCAACCAGTTTAAAGCCACGGTCACGCACAGCAGCCATTGAAACCGAGGATCTGTGTGCTAGGGTATTGTCCTGATGAAACAAGACTCCTTTCGTCAGTTTCCATGGGCGTTTTGTCTTGATTGCCTTTCATAACTGCCTCAAAAAGTTGGCATAGTACTCCCCGTTAATGGTGTAACCCTTTTGAAGATCGCCAATAAAAACAATGCTTTTTGCATCCCCAAATCTAAAGCCATTTCCTTCCTTGCAGATGTAACGACCCTGGCCTTCTTTGGAGCAGGTGATGGGTAGGGGGTTCACTATATGGATTGTCTCTTTGTTTCTGGCTCAAGGTAATGAACCCAACATTCTTCTTAGGTTAAGAAACGTTCAATGAAATTCGCTGGATCTGTCTCAATGACAGATTTTTCTATAATGTGATCAGCTTGGTGCGCTTTTGATCAGGTGTCAGAAGACGTGACACCCACCGAGAAGAAACCTTCGTCATGCCAAGTTCATTGTGCAGAATATTCTTGACTCTTTCACGCGATAAGCTAATAGTATTGACGATTTGATTTATAGTCAATCGCCTGTATTTCATCACCATGTGGACAACACGATGCTTTCCTTAGTAATGGCGGTTGCATGACATCCAGACATTGGGTCATCTTCAACTCACTCTTTTCCTCTTCTAGTTGGAGCGTAAGCTCTTAGTGTAGCAACCATGTCAATATGAATACCCATAGAGGTTAAACATTTTTTTGTTTATGATAACATCATATTGCCAAATTTTGTCCATTTTCAAGAGAAGTCGCTACTAGTTACTTTTGAAGTCTTCTTTGAACATTGAGATGTCTGTTTGTCTGAAAATAAACAATGCACTTAAGAAGAGTTGAAAGTAATGCATGCAAGATTTTACAGTTTTGGCATCAGCCTCGTACCATGTAAATTTTAGACTATAATGTTAGAATCTTTTAGAAATATTTATAAAGATTTTTGATGTAAGATTTTATCATGCAACTCAACTATATTGTAATTCCCTCCCATATACATACATATATATATATATATATATATATATATATATATATATATATATATATATATATATATGTATGTATATATATATAAAGTGAACATTGAAGTCAACACTTAGAGGCGACAGGCTGTTTCATGCTAGACGCAATCGTCAGGCCACGAGAAACAGTATGAAACGGCCTGTCGCCTCTGAGTGTTGACTTCAATGTTCACTTTTATATTTAAATTTACATACACTCGATCTCTGATATTGAGCACTTTATCCCATAAATATAGCACACCTTCTAGATTTCTTCATATATATATATATATATATATATATATATATATATATATATATATATATATATATATATATATATATAAATATAAAATATAAATAATTAAGTCTGATGATGTCCTAAACGCCGAAACACCTCACAAGAAAAATTTTTACACTTTATTATTATATATATATATATAGTCACATATTTCATATATATATATATATATATATATATATATATATATATATATATATATATATATATCTGTAACAAAGGTAGAAGCTGCAAAGAGAAACAATATATTGTAACGTTATTGATGGGCAAAAAAAAAAAAAAAATTCCATGTTGGAAATTGCAGAAAAATTTGAAGATCTACTAAAAAAGAAATTGAAAATATTGCCAATAAGAACAAGCCATAATTTTGAAATTTTACAGAGAAACATTTGTGAAAAATTAAAAAAAAATAATAAGCAAGAAAAATGGATTGACCAAAAGAAAACAAAAACAAATCAAAAACAAAAAACATGCAGAATATTAAGAACATTGGCTAAAGCCATGAAAATAACTTTGTACAAAATACGCAATAGATGCGTGAAAGCTTGTTGACTAGACCACTTCCAAAATGTGACCAATTGATCAAAAATCTGATATTCTTTTTCAGAAGAGTTTCTATAGCACAAATAAAACATTCCAGACCCCCTCGTATTTCCCTTCAGAGAACTAAAACCTCTCTCCCGGAAAGATTTTACCACTTTCTGAGTGGATACTTGCAGACTATTTCGATTTACCATAAACCAAACCTTTAGATTCAATTTTAAACCAGATCTGTTTTCATTCGTTATGTATGTATCGTGTCCCTTCAGGGTGTAGGAAATCATAGCTCTCCACAACTTCCTGTCTCTTGTAGTACGCTCCGCAATCAATTCACATAAACTTATAAGTTACTGATTGTTTCTGTCTACCCCGTTTTCCTTCCTTTCCTGTGAACATTAAATTTTCCAATCCGTTCTTTCTCTAAGAAATTTCAGCTGTCAATCACTGATTTTAAGTAAGAGTTTTATTTTTCTAGCTGCTATTTTCTGTAGAGCTTCCTCGTTGCTCACATGTTCTCTCCATGGTATTCTCGTCATCTGTATGTGGAACCAAAATGGTTCACCAGAATGTACGGTGTTAGCGTGCAGGGTTTTTATCTGAAATTATTTAATTGTATGTGTGAAGAATAAGTGCTTGTACATGCCTAATGTTTAAGAGATAACTTAGTTATGAGAGCAGAGTACAGGTAGGTCTAATCTATATAATGTCAGTGTGTCACTGTATCACACTTTTTCAACTCCTAGAGGCCGTAGCCCAACGAATAATACCATTTTGGAATCAGGCCAACTCTGTGAGCAAATTAAAAACATTCCGGTTCGGATCCAGACCCCCAATCCTGAAATTTTGGATTCCCAAGTTTTCATTACTGCGATTGTTTTCGGTGATTTTTTTTTTACGCGAAACAATTTTCATAACTTGGAAATAAATTTGGGAATAATTTAAATTAAATGTGAAATCCAGCGAAAGTCACCCATGAAATGAGAATAAATTTTTGTACGAAAAGTCAGGACCTACGTACATCAAACTGTTTTTAAATTAAGTAGCGGAAGAAGAATTAACTTTAAAAGGTAAAGTTAATCTTAACTATTAATGCAATATATAAATGCTTCTTCTGTAGTTTTCTGTTGCCTATCGCATCTGCTCCACTTTACCTACTGTGATGAAGACCCAATCGAGAGCACTCTGCAGGAGCTAGCTTAAATGCTGTCCGAAAAGAAGGTAGGGGCTTTTACGCTAGTGTATAAAAAGTTTGGGAAAAGTTAAAGCATAATGAACAGTCTATAAAACAGCGGCATTAACGCACTGTTTGTCGGTTTTAGCTCCATGTAACCGTTTTACATATGACGTAACTTTCGATTAATTTGAATCCTAATGCTCCAAGACAATGCCAACGTATGAGAAACAAAACATGTCTACCTCACTGTAAACATCCAGTTCTTGATAATAACTGAAACAGTCAAAGCTACTTGAACAAAACCAAGAAAACAAACTTTTGGGCAGTTTATGCACAATTGTGATTTTGATGTACAATATCTTAGTGGAAAATTATATATATATATATAATATATATTGTATATTCCATATATATATATATTTATATATTGATATATATATATATATATGTAATGTAATATTCTCGAAAGACATTCTGATCCGAATTTTCTTTAAGGAAGAGTTCTGCGTGAAGGTCATAAAACAATTAAGGTTTGTCCAGCGAGTAGTTATCAATCTTTTAACAAACAGAATGTCTCATATCGAGAATATTTGAACATGAAGAAAAATTAAAAGGACTGTAAAAATCATCCAGAAACACGTTTACTTCCAATAAATCCACATTACAACCAAAAACGTTTGCGGCACCCCCTCTTCTTTTTAATATATATATATATATATATATATATATATATATATATATATATATATAATATATTAAAAAAACAGATCAAAAGGTTCCATGTATTTTTTCACCACAGCCGGACTGCATCAGATTAAACATAAATGAAAAAACAAAATTTACAAATTAAACATATGTAAATTAACGAAGTGAGGAAGTAAATATATATATATATATATATTAACAATTTGAGACTGGTAGGGATGATTCCAGGAAGGATATTTATCTAGAGAGAGCTCAATGTAAACTACAGAGCATAATAATAAGAATGAATCAAGAAAAAAACCTTAAAGACCCATTTCGGTTATAATAT